TGACCAAAAGAATCCCCAACAAATAAATACAGCCAGAAAAGCAAAGCAAAACAAAGCAAATGACAAAAATGCAGAAGAACGACATAGTCAACCAAGTATCACAAATATTAATTTTAAATTAGCTCTGCCCCAAATTATTATAGGATATCTCTTTAAGAGCATAATACACTTAAAGAGATGAGAACCAAAAAGGTTGGCTTATGTGAAGGGTGGACCACACAACAATTTTTGCTAAGCCATTGGTGAAATCAAAGGTGACCAAATCGTTATTCTTATATTGACTAGGAGCCCCCGGTGGTGCAATGGGTGCCAGCAGGACCGACAGGTCAGAGGCTTGAATCCGGGGAGAGTGAGGATGAGCTCCCTCTGTCAGCTCCAGCCACCCATGCTAGAACACAAGGATGGTAAAACATCAAAACATCCAGGCGTCTCCAGGACAACATACTTGCAGACGGCCAATTCTCTCACACCATAAGCGACTTGCAGTTTCTCAAGTTGATCCTGACACACATTAAAAAATCTTGACTGAAATGTCCTAGGGCTAATGGTTTTAACCAGTCAAGTTTTCATTTAAATCAGATGTTTCCAAATATTTTGTGTTGGTGACACACTTCTTTAGATATGTGTGATTTTGTGACACAGTAATTCTGTTTTACTAGCAAGCCAAAGGCTAAATCAACCCCTTTTGAGAGATACAGACTATTACATAAATTGTAATAGTGAAATGTATGGGGATACAACATATCTCATGAAAATCTTTTATTGATATATTTTTTAAATATATGATTTATTGCTTATTTCACATAGACTCAGAGGTTTCTCACAATGTTCGCATGACACATCTACATACTACAGGTGACATACTAATGCGTAAGGACACACAGTTTGGAAAGCTGTGGTGTAAATGCTCTGTATGTATGTGTCCACCTGGCTGGGACAACAATCAGAATTTAAGACAAAAGAAATAAAGTGGCTAGTCCACCTTTGTAGGAAAGCTATTGTGTTTTGTTCAGAAAAGATAAATTTTCAATTGGCACTCATGCAGGATGGGGACCAAAGACTTGTCTTTGTCCTGTGTTGTGTTTTTCCCATAGTGGTAGAACCAAAACCTATGAGAAGCTCACTGGCATGACATGAGTGCAACTATGTTTGCATGTGTGTACATGCATGGAGGGATCTTTTCAACGTTGTTTTATTGCATGGCTCCACTCTGTATCCTGTAGCACTCCCCACGCAAAACAGGACAATAAATTGCCAGATGTTTGAAATCAGCGTTTGGCAACCTTATTCATAAAGGCTCAGATGAAGTTACATTATTGTGGGCTGCCAGCTGGACATATTTGTGTTATACAATATGAAGAGTCAGTAGAGGCAGGGATCCTTCCTCACTATTGAGGCTCAGTTAGGTAGCAAAGCCACATGGAGCTTTTGCCCCTGTTGTCTCTCTCTGGAGATGGGAACAAGGCAGGTTTTATTATTCTTGGTCCCCCTCTAGTGGGGGTTGGAAACCAAAAACATTGTACCTGAACTATCACCTTTTCTGGGTTTAAACATGGCTAACCAATAACAAGCACCAGCCAAGGTAATATGACCAAAAGGCAGTGAGTTTAACTACTAGTGAGCTCACAAGCTCCTTAAAGGCACACTTCCTAAATGCCAATATATCGACCTGTTCTTATTTATTTATTTATTTATTTACTGCATTTATTGACCGCCGCTCTCAGCCCTAGGGCGACTCGCGGCGGTGCACAACATATAAAAACAGTTTACAAAAGGGTGTCTTGAAGTGAGGTTTCTTGGGGCAACCCTATCACTGGGGTTTCTTGACAAGATTTGTTCAGAATGGGTTCACCATTTTCTTCCTCTGAGGCTAGGGTGCAACTACACTGTAGAATTAATGCAGTTTGACACTACTTTAACTGCCATGGCTCAGTGTTATGGAATCCTGTGATTTACAGTTTGGCAAGGTGCCAGTAGTCTTTGGCAGAGATGGTTGCAGACTTTGTAAAACTACACCTCTCTTGATTCCAGAGCCATGGCAGTTCAAATGGGATCAAACCATTAATTCTACAGTATAGATGTGCCTTACAAGTGTGTGACTTGATCAAGATAATCCAGTAAGTTTTTATGGCCAAGCAAGGATTTGAACTCCTGGTCTCCAGAGTTGTAGCTCAGTGCTCATACCATTCATACAAATGTCCTATTCTCTTATGGTGAATTTGTCCTATTGTTTTTATGCTTAGCCATATGCTGTTTGATTGATGATTTGGTTTATGTATGTAAATCAATGAATTTTGCCATTATTTTTTGTAAACCACTTTGAGTCCCCCCCATGGATGAGAAAAGCGGTATGTAAATATTGTAAATAAATCAATCACCACAGTGGCTCTCAAGGCCTTTCCATCTTGGGTATATTTAAATTTCCAGTTCAATGTTTATGTTAAACAGGTACTAGTGTGGATTTCAGGAACTAAGGCCCTTTCTACACTGCCATATAATCCAGATTATCTGCTTTGAACTGGATTATATGAGCCTACAGTGCCAGTTCATAGCAGGTAATCTGGATTTTATATGGCAGTGTAGAAGGGGCCTAAGACAGCAGTTACTTAGTCCAAATACATGCAAGTGAAAGCCATTTGAGTATGCTTGAAAAATGATGAGAAATCTGGTCTGGATGGTCCTATTAGTAATTTATTTCTTCTGTTTTTAGGTGTTATGGCTTGAAACATTGAGTCAGATTTATTTATTGAATTTATATCCCACTTTCTTCTAGAATGAGATTCACAGCAGATTGTAGTCATTTAAAAGATGCAGATAAAACACTGACAAATGTTAAGACAGAATAAAATATCCCTTTTTATTAAAAACATGCTTAAAGACCATTAAAAAGGGCTTAACACGTATTTAAAACAGTTTCAATAAAAGACTAAAAAAAACAGCACACGACTCATGCACACACTACAACGCCATAATTAAAATTCAAAATTCAAAAGCGTAGCTAAATAAAAACAGATGGACATACCAGTCTGAACCTGCCTGCAGCCAGAAATGTTGGTCCACTAATAAAATTGTGAAACAAAAATGGGGGTGTCTGTTTGGGCCTCTGATTTTTATGATTTTGGAAAGCGCTGCTTTGCTTCTCACAAATGGGCTGGAGAGAAATGTGGTTTAGGCCAGGGAAGGGATGGGGTGGAGAGGCACAACCTTGAGTCTATGTGCTGGGGAGATTATATGGGGAAAGTGTAGGGAAGAGTTGAAGAGCCCTTTGTCTGGGAGATAGATTGACCTTTCTCTTCAGCTGTGTATAACAAAAGGACCCCTCCCCTCCCCAGGGGCCCTTGAATCATCCTTTCTCAGAGCTTGGGCCTGAGATGAAAGACATTTGCATGGAAACACAAAAGCATTCACTCAATTGCTTTTATTTCACCTACAGGGCAAGAATCAATAGCGATGGACTTCCCTTAGTCAGGTAATGAATGCCTCCACCCCTTCTTGCCCAACCAAAAAGGGCTGTTCCTTCCAAACAAGAAAAGAAAAGGAGAGAAAACCAATCAGAGGTGAGGGGAAATTCGGAGAGCAAGACCTCTCTTTCAGCTCGAATCCTGTAATGCCCGCTTTTGCCAAACCAACTAAAATTAATCCTTCCCTATTGAGCCACACTGAAATGAACTTGCTTCAGCCAAGTGATTTCAAAGCGCTCCCACCACATTTATCCTGGCCTCTCTCAACCTTAACCAAACTGAGTCACTCTAGCTACCAAGAAACTAAATGAATTTTGGGTATCTTGGGCCAAATTGGTGTTGGAACTAAAGAACAAAGGGCCTATTCACACTTGGCAACAATAACCATACGATTACATTTTCACTGTCATGCTTTCATCTTATGGAAAAATCAGATTTACAATTTGGAAAGTGGATAATGTGGGCCCACTATATCCACAGGAATTCAGTCTGATGCCCAGTGAGGAGTGGCTCAAGGAGCTGGTCATGTTCAGCCTCAACAGAGAGGGCTAAGAGGGGACATGACAGCTACATGAAAGGACACCATGTTGAAGAGGGAGCAAGCTTGTTTTCTGTTGTTCCAAAGATTAGGACACAATGGATTCAAACTACAGATAAAGTGATTTCACAAACATTAGGAAGAATCTCCTGACAATAAGATGTCTGACCATGGAATATCCTGCCTCAAAGTGTGGCTGAGTCTCCTTCTATGGAGTATTTTCAACAGAGACTGGATGGCCATCTGTCGGGAGTGTTTTGATTATTTATTCCTGTATAGCAGACGTGAGTTGGTCTGGATCAGGCATGAGCAAACTTCAGCCCACCAGGTGTTTTGGATTTCAACTCCCACAATTCCTAACAGCCTACCAGCTAATGTATTGTCGAAGGCTTTCATGGCCGGAATCACTGGGCTGTTGTAGGTTTTTCAGGCTGTATAGCCATGTTCTAGAAGCATTCTCTCCTGATGTTTCACCTGCATCTATGGCAAGCATTGTCAGAGGTTGTGAGGTGTGCTGGAAACTAGGAAAATTGGAAAGTAGGAAAATTCCTACCGGCTGTTAGGAATTGTTGGAGTTGAAGTCCAAAACACCTGGAGGGCCAAAGTTTGCCCATGCCTGGCCTGGATGGTCATTGTGATCTCTTCCAAATCTAAGAATCTATGATTCTGTGAACCTGCACAGATATGAAAGAAAGTGGATGGTCACATGTGTGCCAGTATTTATCTGTGAAATGTTGGAGAATATGTAGGTGCTCTTCAAGCAGTCCATTGCAGCCAACATTAAAATAAATAATGTAACTTACCCACAAGAAAAGGAGAAGGAAAATTATTTGAAAAAAGCAAACAAATAAAATTCCGCTTCAGTGTTGTTTCATCTAAGATGGACAGTTGTAGGAAGACAAGGAAAAATATGTTTTTTAAACTGATCTATGCCCACCTTGCTTGTCTCTCTATGCCTCTCATTTCTTTATAGGCATGTCCTGAAAGTGCTCCAGGAAAATATCTGCTCTTTTTTCATGCTTGTTTCCACTGCTTGACTCTGTTGGGACGCATCCTGCGGCTCAAGTGGGCAGGAAGGATTCAGCACTGAATATCACCAGGAAATGATGATGGTGCTGATGGTTCAAAATAGCTTTGGTCACAATCTCAGCCAAAAACAACAGAAAAACAAGGGGAAATGCCATGTTTTCCAGGAGAACTAGCTCTGGCCCTACCAGAGCACTTCATCCAATGTTGAATGGGACTCTTGACCCTAACGAAAATTGCTCACCTTTCTGTAAAAATGGATTGCTACCCAGAAGAAAGAAAAATATAGTCCTTCAGGTTTCAAACAGGCTACATAGGGTGCTGCCAGGAGGAGAGGCTGGATTCTGTGCCTGTAAGGAAGCAGAAAGAGCAAGCATTAGGCCACACCTGAGAAAGACTTGGGGAGGGTTTGAGGTTATTTGGCAGAAGCACGAAGTCGGAAACAACTTGAAGGCACACAACAACAACAATGGGGAACAAGATTAAGATGACTTAATCCAGTGGCAGATGGAGACAACAGCCCTAAGGTAAGTACAAAGGCAAGCAGGAAAGGTATATATAAAAAAGTACGTACCACAGGAGAAAATGCGAAGGGAGGTGGGGGCTGTGGCTAAGCACACTTCAAATAGCAGGTGAGACATTAGAGTAGAAACCCCCGGTGCTTTCAATGCCTATTCAGTGATATGAAAAGAAGAGTGTGGGAAGTAAACAAAATGAGATTGAATGCTTAGTACAGGGAGGTAAATACAGCTTGCTTAGGTAGAACTGAGACTGGGTGGGATAACACCCATGACTGGAATGTAGCAACTGAAAGTTATAATTTGTTCAAAAAGAATCGATGCCACAGTAAAGGGAAGTGAATAGCATTCCAGGACAAAAAAGTGTCCACCTGCACATAAACCTCAGAGAGCAAACACAGCAGTCCTGCAGAGCACATCTGGTTAGAAAGTAATAAACAATGGAATAAGAACAACTCTGTCATCAGTCAACCCCTAAACTGAGAAGAATATACAGAGGAGGCATTTGGGAAATAAATGTTTCAAGAAAGCATGAATTAGCTCAAAAGGGGCATTTCACTATCTTGATACTGAAAGACAATCTGAATGAAGTTCAGCCTTGGGAACCTTATGGGAAAGTGTTCCACTGTTCCATAGACAACAATGGGAGGAAGCCAGGCAGCGACGCTTCTACCTGCGGATGGGGTAAAGGTGCAGCGGGCGTTGCAGGGCATGGGCAACAGTTTCCCCCCACTGCCCCTTGGATTACAACCTCAATGTAACGAGTTCCTTAGTCTAGCTGACTTTGGTTCCCAGAGGTGCTCTAGGCCCTAGAGTAGACCTGCACAACCTGCGGCCCTCCAAGTTTTTTGGACTTCAGCTCCCAGAATTCCTGAGTATTGGAACAGCTGGCTAGGGCTTCTGGGAATTGGAGGCCAAACATCTGGAGGGCCACAGGTTGTGCAGGCCTGCCCTAGAGGATCCTCGATTTCCTCATATATCTTTTTCTAAGTTTCTATCTATGTGCCATTCCAAGTCTTCTGATTTCTTGACTATAATCTCCATAACTGACAAATGACTAATCTGAGCTATAAAATATATTTAAAAGCTTTAATGTCTTCTTCATCAGCTTTAAACCTATATGCATCTAATTGCTTTGTGTTTTTAAAATTATTTCCATTAACATGGGGCAGAAACTCTTTGGAAGACATAGACAACAGGTATCTGAATACGTGGTAATATTTTGCACCATACAGAGTGTTCCCAAGTGTGCTTGATGCAAAAATGCTCAGAATTTCAAATTTCTAGAAGATGTATAATAGTTAAATATTCATGCATAATAGAAACTGAAATTCTACATCAACCTATTTAAAGCTTTCACTGAAAGTGTAATAACCAAGCAAAATCACAAAACTATAAAGTATTACACTGCATGATCATAGCAGCAAGAACAGTATACACACAGTTCTGGAAGAAGGCAAACCTCCCAACAATAGAAGAATGGATAAAGTCCTTAAAATAGCGGAAATTGACAAATTAACAATGATGAACACAGAACTAGGAATCAAGAACTGGGAATCGTTTCTAAACTATATAAAAAAAAGAAGGAAGGAAAAGTTTTTATAGAAGGGTTCATAATTTAATCTGTTAGAATCTGTCGAGGACTCTAAAAATAATATCAGACTAGGAGGAAGAAAAGAAAAACAATGTAATAGGAAGGAAGAATGGAATTATATATGAATGTCTCCAACCCAACGGATAGCAAGTCACTAAATTGGGAGAGGTGGGAAGAGGTAAGAGCATAACCAAACACAGATATTACATAGATATTAGGAAATATTGTATTGGTTCATGCGTATATACATGTCTATGGATTTGTTTCATTGTTTTTATGAATCTGTAAATTGAAAATAAAAACATATTAATCATAAGCTTATGCTGGAAGACTATCACAGAAGTCATCCAGCTGGATTTGTCATGAAAGTCCTTCAGACACTTTAGCTAGGGCAGAACATGGCCAGTTAAGTCCTTGGTGAGGCTATCTGTTCAGTACCAATGGCACGGGTTGCCAGTGCATTCCCACGCCCAAGTCAGTGTGCAGGCTTTAACAGCTTTAATCAATTTAGGTCTTGGTTATATGCACAATTGACTTTTTGGACAGGTAGGGTATTCCTCTCCCTGTACACATTAACTTACACAATATTTAATAGTCTGTTTCCCACAGTTTTTAACTCTATCCCCTTTCATCCCCTCAGATCTTCCAGACCAATTTTGCTCATTTTCAGCCAAACATTCTTTTTACCAAAGTTAATTTATGATTTTATGAACTTGTCATATTGATGTAGAACCACTTAGTTTATCATGTCAGCTGTGATGGGAAGACTGTAGTCTTGCAAAGCAGCTAAGACATGTATAAAATAATGAGACCAAGGCAATTTAAAGAACACAATAGGATTTTGGCCATGTGATACTTCTTTAGACTTGCATAATCAGCTAGGGCAAATAAGGCTGCCGAACTGAACTGCTACAGAAAAGGATGCCTAGCTTGAGCCCCACAGTGGTTGAAAGATCGCTTGGGCTCTGGAAAGCCTCTTTGGGCTGGTTCACAGATGCAGGTGTATCACCTGATATCTCATCACTCAGTGGCTTTCGGGTGATTGGATGACGGATTCTAAAGAGGTGATGTCAGGTAATAAGAAAGCACTCTGACTGTGAGGCTTGGTCCCTGGTGCATGGGTCGTTGCTTGATTTTGCTATTGCTGAGTGATGAATCAGCATGTGTGAGCTCATCTGAAGAGCAAGGCAGCCTTGACAACATTGTGCTGGTGTCACTCTTGGATCACAGATATTCCCCTTTAAAGAACAGCCTGATGTCAGCTGCTTCTCATCTATCGATTCTTAATCTGCGGGCTTCTAAACAAGATTGTTCTGCAAAGCTCCCTGAGAATGCAGAAACATAAGAAGGACCTTGCTTGATCAGACCAAAGGCCCATCCAATCCAGCATCTTGTTTCCCACAGCTGTCGTTCAAAAGCCTACAGGAATCCTACGAAAGCAGAACATGGAGGATACGAGCTGCCCTCCCCTGACAATATTGTTCACTGTTGAACATCTGCAATTCTGAAATCCAGATTCTTCCAAATTGTCCACATGGGTGGTTGAGATACTGGCACCCTGTTGCTTTCTGATTCTTCAGTGGTCACAAAAGTTGTTTCATGCACAAAACTGTTGAAGATAATTGTATAAAATTATCTTCAGGCTATGTGTATAAGGAATATTAGGAAGATAAATGGATTATGTGTCTTACCAAGGTATCTTACTGTGTACATATTTGCAAATATAGGCATTCTAAAATTTTAAAACATTCAAAACACTTATGCCCCCGAGATTTTTGGTAAAGTGTACTTAACCTTATGGGCCGGGCTTTAGCACAGCAGGTTAACCACCAGCTGCAGTAAATCTTGCCAACTGAAAGGTTGACAGTTTGAAGCCTGGATCAGAGTGAGCTCCTGGCCTTTAGCCCAGCTTCTGCCTACCTATCAGTTGCAAAAACAGCAATGTAAATAGATAAATAGGTACCACTTAAGTGGGGAGGTATTTAAGGCACCCATAAGGAAATGACAGAAAAATGCTGGTGATTTGATCAAGGAGGAAATTTACGAACAAAGTTCTTCGGTAGGGAAAGTGGAGCGACAGCACCCTCTCCCCCCCCGCCCCCATGGCCAGAACCAAGCACAGCTTCCAAGATGGAAAAACCTATATATACTTCTATCTATGTACAATTCTGTCTTGTTGGTGTATAAACGGCAATGAATGTTTGCTGTATATGTGTTCTGTGATCTGCTCTGATCTTTGGGTTGAGAAGGGTGGAATATAAATACTTTAAATAAATAAATAAACTGTATTCAGGTACGTTCTTTCCTCGCCTGATCATCCAGGTCACATACTGCCATCACGACTACTAGCTAAGGCTCATTTTAACCTCCATAATTTTGTCTAATCCTCCATTAAGTCATCTAGATTGGTAGCCATCATATACTGTGGAAGTAAATTGCACTGTTGAGCTGCCCTGTGTGAGGATGCATTTTATCCTAAATTTTCCAGCTTTTGGTTGCATTGGGTGATCCTGGGTTCAAATATAATGCATGAGGGATAAAAGCTTCCTCCAATGTACTCTCTTCATAACAAATATAATTTTATATATATTTACCATGTTTTTTTCTTGTACCTCACTTTTTACTTATTTGTCTAATGCAAAAATCATCCAACATTGCAAAAATTTGTACTAGATTGAACCTTTGCTGCCAGACAGATGGCCTTTGCAATCCTTGTTAGCATCTTGGCCAAGCATTAATAGCTGTCCTGTGCAGAGAAAGAGTCCGTTTATATTAGTGGCCTTGCTTGATAGTTTTTACATTAGTTTGGCAGTTTGAGGCTGGGAAATGATATGAAAGTTGGGAATGGATTAGGGGAGTAAAATTTCCTCTGTTGCTAACCTGCTTATACAGTTCTCATAGCAATGGGAGGGAGATGGTTTATGCTTTCACACTTTGGTTTTGCTTTATATAACCCTTGCAACTTCATTTTCTATCAGCTTCAAGGGGTGGGGTACACACCAGACCAGGTGCCACATGTATCATCCATGGGGACTCAATTGATTTCCTAGCGTGGGTAGGATTAGTGTTGGGACCCAGTTCTACCATTGGATGGGATGAGATGCTGAACTCCACCAGCAACGGGGATGGGATACTTCTGTGCTGTGAAGCATGTGCTGCATCACTTATCACCAATGAAGTCTATGTTATAGTAGTAACACGTGGCAGTGTTCAGCATGGAAAGATTTTAGGAGGCCTGGAACTACAATCCAATTCCTGAATAAGAACTTTTTGTAGTAAGAAAGTTGCTTCATCCATTCAATAGCTTTCTTCCACCAGCGGCTTCTATTTTGAGTTCTAAAGTCCAATATTCTTTCTGAGCTATATAAAAAATATAGTGGTTTATTTATATAATGTCTAACATTTGCATAAAGACAACATGATATCAGAGAATATTTATATTTGTAACCCACCAAACTGAGACTCAGTGTGACTTCTAAAAATTAACACAGAAATTTTAAAAAATGGAAAAACATACCCCAAAATTTGTCAAAATGTAATTAAAATATCAGTCGTATTAAAGGTTTTACAAATACTTCTTGGAGTAGTTTTCACCAACTGATTGAAGGACAGGCTCATGGAAGGCCCTCTCCCCACCAGACATGCCCATGGGATTGAAAGGAGGAGTGGATGTTTAAAACCATTCTTTCTCCTAAAAATAATTAACAAAGGAACTTTCTCTTTCACAGCTGCTGCACTCTGGGTCAGACTTTTAGCAGAATTATTCATCTCAAACAGAAGGCTCATTTCCTGGTAAGTCACTGAAATCCAGAAAATGAGGTATAGGATAATACGTTATTATACCAGTATGAGTATTTTTATGGCCATTCTGGAAGGAGGTACTCTGTATCTCCTTGTGCAGCACCAGGGTCCCTAGTGTAACTCTTTCCATCTGGCTTCTAGATTTTGTTCTTTTCCCCCTTCCTTATGCACCCAAGGACAAAAAGGCATCCCACTTCCTTGTTTAAGGGATGATGGCTCCTTCTGTGCACTCAGGAAAGGAGCACAAGCCCTCACACATGCCCCCTTCTCCACCACCACAGGAATCATGCTGGTAAAGCATTATGTTCCACTAATGTAACTATTTGATTTCAGTCTTAGAGAGTAGGAGTGAAAATTGGTAAGAAAATATAAAATCTCAATGTTAGGTTGTGCCAGTTCATGTCACCCACAGGATTCCATCTGACATATGAAATATGACTCTCAAATGAGAATAGTGATCAAGTGGCACCAACAACCTACTCCTTTGAACAAGTTTCAACACTGGCAGGAGGTGGAGAAACTTAAGCCTCAGAATGTGACCATCTTGTGCATTACAGAATAAATCTAGTTCTATGTATTGCCGAAGGCTTTCACGGCTGGAATCACTGAGGTATTGTGTGGCTTGCAGCATTTTCTCCTGACATTTTGCTCGCATATGTATATCTGTGACATTAGACCAAAGTAATATTGGAGCCCCCGGTGGTGCAGTGTGTTAAATCGGTGAGCTGCTGAGCTTGTTGACCAAAAGGTTACAGCTTCTAATTCGGGTGAGCTTCTTCTGTCAACTCCAGCTTCTGCCAACCTAGCAGTTCAAAAACATGCAAATGTGAGTAGATCAATAGGTACCACTCCGGTGGGAAGGGAACGGCACTCCATGCACTCATATGGAGGTGTCTATGGACAACAGAGGTGTCTGTGGACAATACCAGCTCTTCACCACACCCCAGAGTCGGACACGACTGGATTTAATGTCAGAAGAAAACCTTTACCTTTACCTAATATTAGATCAAAGTAATATTAAAACAACAGAGGTAAGATATATTACATATGTAATGATAACTAGCTACAATTCTGGTAACTATAATAGGAAACCATTGGTAGAACAATACAGGATGTTCAAGTGCTTAATGGAGTTGAGTGAAAGAGAAGCATTTAGGAAAAGAATGAAATTCTGTTTTCCACTATCAGTGAAGAGATCCTTTTTGAGCCTTTTTGCTCTTGTTGTTTCCCTGATTTCCTGACTAATTTTCTCATGTGATTCTCAGAAATTACAGAGCAAAAAGAATGATATCAAAATGTGTGCTCACTCACAGCACATTATATGCTGACATCATTGACAGCAAACGCCACATTTTCTCAGAAGAAAAGAGGGATATCATATGAATAGAATGACTAGATGGGTGAGGGATGGATGAAGCTATTTTCAGGAAATGTTTCTTTCCTTCTTCAAACTTGGCCTATCTCAGTATGATCCCTGGAAGGTTGCCCAAAGGGTTCTGCTTTTTGATGCTGAAGACCACATTGATGAAATATGTCCTTCTTTAAACTCAGCCATCCTGTTCTCCATGTTCTTCCCATAAAGATCTTTACTGCAACTCACAATTGGGTTGTGGCTATGAAGGTAAGGAAAATAACAAAGGTTCACAGGCTGCTGAGGAAGTGCCAGATCAAAAGAGATACGATTTCTTTATGCATGCTAATATATATTTAAATCAGGACTGGACAACTGCTGACCTTCTAGATGTTGTGGGCCTACAACTCCTATGAGCCTCATCCATGTAGCCAATAACCAGGGCTGGTGGGGGTTGGCATCTGGGAGGAATATAAGTTGACCACTCTGGGTTTAAAACAATTGTGTAGGCTGGGGATGGATAATTTCCATAGGTTTCTCCCTTGCAGCATTTTTGTTTTCACTGTGAAAGGTTACTCCCCTGCATTTTCTTTGCAGGAGCAACTTTGCCACACTTTCACTCACATTTGCTCCCAGTGGTGCAATGGGTTAAACCTTTATGCTGGCTGAACTGGTTGACTGAAAGGTTGGCAGTTCGAATCTGGGGAGCGGGATAAGCTCCTGACTGTCAAGCTCTAGACTCCCATGTGGGGATATGAGAAAGCTCCCACAGGATGGTAAAACGTCAAAGATATGGGTGTCCCCTGGGCAATGTCCTTGCAGATGGCCAATTCTCTCACACCAGAAGTGACTTGCAGTTCCTCAAGTTGCTCCTGACATGGAAAAAAACCCCACTCACAAATGTTTAAACTTAGCAGGGGGCTTTTACCCCAGCTGAACATTACTGGATATCATACTTCAGGCCAGAAGTGGGGTGCCCTCCTGGATGTTATTGAATTGCAGCTCAGAATTCCAGGTCCACAAGAGTTGGAAACCTACACAATTAGCACCTCACAAGTAGATACTTAGAGCAAAATTTCTCAGGCTGCCTAATGTGAGGGACAAACATCTCCTGCCCTACAGTTGTGCCAGGGACCGGCACAATATTTGTATCGATTGAATATAGTTGTTTCTTCTTTTTTCCTGTCAATTTATTGGGACCGGTGACCAATGGCTCAGGGTCAGTGCCTCTGAAAGAAACTTTGCATGATGAAACAAGGCTGTTTTGGGGCCCCAGCAATAGTGCCAGGATGAAGGGGTGTCTCTCAAAATTGAAATTTCAGGTGGCCTGTAAGAAGCCTTCCTGGTTACAATGTCAATCTGAACAAGAAAACAAGAAAATACCTGAAAGGTTGAATGTTTGCTAACCTTTATAAAATATTGCAATGGAAGGAGGCTGTGAGTAGTTTTTTTTTAGTGAGGGGACCATCAGATATTCAAGGATCCCTCCTTAGCTCTCTGGCCCCCAGATTGATTTTTATAGGCTCTGCTCAGGGACCACCATTTTGAGCAATACTCAGCGAGAGTATTAGTCATGAAATGAACTATGTAAGATCTAATAGGTACATAATAAGGCCTCACTTAATTGACTGGACTAATTGATTACATTATGTTGAGCAACTAAGCACCCTTCACCTCACAATGAATTTGTCAACAGACTTATATTTTCAGATTTTTAACGCAAGTGCTTAAAAAAATAGATGGCAGGCAATATATTAAGAAAGCCATCTAACTTTCTTATACTGGATAGAAAGCAAGAGCATGTCTATTTTTGTGTGATTGCTTTTTCTTATACACATATTTGATCAATTAATCAACCCAAACCCATACCATCAGTCAATCAACTACTATTACTTTCTTTGTCTGACAGCACAAATAAATAAATGGACCACAATTTGAAGGATGTGAATTCATTGGCAGAAGGGAATTGTATAAATAATAGAAATGAGTTCACAATGTGGCAACTTACCCAGAAAGAAAGACTGCTGCCATAACTGGGAGGCTCAGCCTTTCCCAGAATACGGGGAAGGTCAACCAGTCTTCTGCTCCTTTCCAAGAGCCCAGCGCCTCCCTGCTGCTCAGCCATCCTCACCCCTCAGAGAGCTGCATTTGAAAGAAGAGTGTACATATATGCTTCACAGGACATATATAAGAAAGACTGGATCAGGCCCAGTGAGCTATGGAATGGTTTGTTGATGCTCCATGTAATGCTATGCAAAGGAAGAGCAAGGAAACAGCTGCCCATACATATTCAAGGCAAGACTTCCACCAGTTGGGGCAGAGAAATCATAGGAGAGGAAATAGAGACATTCTGGGCTGGAATCTCAAGAAATGTACCAAGTTGAAAAAATTGTAGGGCTGAAGGCCATTTATTGGATAGATGCACTATTTGATTCCGGGAATAGCCACAAAGAGGATGCTCAGTAAGTCGATTTTCCTAGTCAACTAGAATATGTTTCAAGTTTCCTGGTTCTTGTGACAATATTTGAAGTCCTATTATTATTATTATTATTTCATTTACTTATACCCCGCCCTTCTCACCCCGGGGGGGACTCAGGGCGGCTTACAGTGGGGCCTAGATGGCTTGGGAACCTTATTACTGCCTGAGGTCTGCTGAGAGTGACCTCCTCAGTGTCCTACCAATGAGGTCAATCAACAGTGTTGGGACACGGGAGAAGGGTTTCTCAGCTGTGCCACCCCAATTGAGAAATGCCCATCCCTTGGAGACCCAATTGGTGCCAATACTCATTTCATTTAGATACACAATAAAAACCTGACTATTCATCAACGTCTTTAGGCCTCATTAATTAATGTCAAATATTGATGTACATGGTTTTCAACAAACTTTTAAAATCCTTTAAATCAGTAGAACTCCCTTGTATGTTTAAGATATTTTAGCTTACATAAATTATTTTGTATTGTTTAAAACTTTTTATCATGTTGTAATGCCATTTGTAAGCTGCCCTGAAATCTTCCTGATATCATGCAGGAAACCACAGGGGGAAAGAAATGAAAGAGAGAGTGTGTGTGCTGTGTGGAGTGAGCAAAACTCTGGTTCTCTTCACCTTTACACACTTAATAGAATGATTCCCAAACCTGGGTCACCAGATGTGGAATTTCAGGTCCCAGATGACTCAACCAGCATGAGTAATGGTGAGGGATTCTGATACTTATAGCCTGTGGCCATCTGGGGACATCACACATAGAGATTGGGAACCATGGCAGACATGCAACTTCTCAATTGACTCTGAATCCCCCTTTTACTCCATATGTTTTTAGCTTGGTTTTTTACTTTCATGCTTCTTTGATATTCATTTTCTTCAGAACGTTTTAGAAAAGTCTAAAAAGTTCACCCCCCCCTTAATATTCTAAAGCCAGTTTTTAAAAGGGGGTATATCTTAGATATTGACAAGAACCCCAACTGATCAGCAGAGTTAAGCAGCTACCTTCTGGAAATCAGAGAATCAGATGGTTGTAGTTAACCAGCATCTCAAGGATCATTTAGTCCAACCTCCTGTCAGTTTAGGAAGTTATAGCTAATGTTTCACCTCTGTTTAAATTTCTCCAGTGAAGAACTTCCCAAGATCGTTGGCTAAATATG